CGGTTCAAGTCCCAGACCCAGTGGCTTAAACTCACACCGGGCACGTGTGCGTGTGTGCCCAAGACTCCAAGAGGAAAATGGAGAAGGGATTGTGGTGTGGCCATCCCCCCAGGGGGTGATTTCTCACTTTCTGTCTCTCTTGTCTTTCTGGCAAGCCCATGTGCCCTATAGCAAAAACCTCTCCAAAAAAAAAGTCATAAGGGACCACAGTATTTTGTGGTTTGGGGAAATTTTTTATCCTTCTAAATGAATACCAATGTCTATTTAAATAACTAGAATGACTTAATTGAGCTCTTTCTAGATGAACCAGCTCTCGAAGGAAATGCACTGCAACTGTTCTCCACACATTCGTGAGAGCAGACAGCAGTTTATCAGCTTTCTGAATGGCAATGGCTCTATAGTACATGTCTGTCCCCAGGGAAACAAGTGCCTTCAAAAGACAGGCCTTCCCTGGTATCTGTTCCGGTTTCTGCCTTGGGCTGGACTATCTAAGATTTCCTGCTTTGCACCCTTCATGAATTATTGCCAATTCATATAGAAGATGTCCATAAATGGTTTTGAAAGCTTCTTGGTGGATGTAATCTTCCCATCCACCTAGAGGAATATATTCCTGGGAGTATAATGGCATTCATAAAATGACACAAATTAGATGAACTCCCCAAATATCTTGCTTATAATTAAATATACTTGGAATTTGATGGTATATGTTCCTCTGGAATAAATCAGATTTTGACTGCTTATTGTTTCTGTTGAGAATTTGTTAATTTGAAATGAATCTAGGCTCCCATTGGGGTTGGTGTGGGGGCCTGCTTTGTCATTGGCAATGTGATCAACATTATTTCTCAGCAGATGTCCTGGCAAGACACACAGATGGCAAAGAAACATGCCTGTTCCTTTCTGCCCAGAAATTTTATAGCCTATTTTTCTGCCTCCCTGGTGGCCATTATAGATGTTTTTGTACCTTCAAAAAGTGTGGTTTGAGAAGTAACTGAGGGAGGCTCTTAAAGGGTTTTTTTCTTTTATCTTATGCTATCATTTTTAATACTTATCCCTAAAAGGCTGTTGAAGAATAACTGGGTTGTGTAAATGTCCAAAAGAGATAACTGGGACCAGCAGGCTGCGTGGTAATTGGGATGCTGGGTTCCCATATGGCCGACTGCAGTTTGAGTCCTGGACTCATAGCAACTTGCTTTCTCACTTTCTCTCTCTCTCTTTCTCTCTCTCTAGTGAATGAGCATGCCCTATAGTAAAAATTAAAAAATAATAAGTAAAATTAAATAAATAATTCTAAAAATAAAAAAAATCCTTAAAAGAGATAACTAATTATTGATGAAAGCCAAGTTCCTATATACATAGGAATTTACTTTTCATACCTCTTCAGAAAGTTCTTTAAAAAAAAAAGGATGCCAGAATACACACACAGATACACACACACACACACCCCAAAGTGAGGAATGGTGTTCAGAACAGCATTATCTTCCAATAATGCTGTTGTCACTCAGACCATCTTTAAGCTTCTCTTTTAGAACTAACCCTTATAAACAAACAAGCCTCATCATCGTATAATTAAACATGATTTTGACTAAAACCTTGATACCTTATTTACCAGATTTGGAATCACTAAATCAGTCATAGCTTTTCAATGCTGGTTGGAAGATAGAAATCATTTAACTCAAGACCCTTCATTTCTGATGAGAAAGCTGAGGCCTAGAGAAGTTAATTGACATGGGAACCAGCAGTTAGCGTAATGGCTGTCGCTGGACTCCCACGTAGTCGACCGCGATTAGCATCCCGGACCCGGTGGCTTAAAACTCACGCCGGGCGTGTGTGTGTGCGTGCCCAAGATCCCAAGAGGAGAATGGAGGAGAAGGGATTGCGGCGTGACCATCCCCTCTGCGGGGTGATTTCTCGCTTTCTGTCTCTATGTCTCTGTCTGTCTGAGCGCGCCCGCCCTACAAGGAAAATCCCCCCCAAAAAAAAAAAAAAAAAAAGAAGTTAATTGACTTGCCAAGGGTTAGAGAGTAAGTTAGCAAATAGCTAACACCAGAAATCAACTCTAAGAATCCTTTGGCTATTCATTAAAAATAAAATCTATTTTTAAATATTGCCATCATCAAAGATATTTAAAAAGAACATACCATGGGTGGCATGGTGATTAAGGCAACTGGATCCCCCATGACTGACTTCGCCAATTTAGTCCTGAACCCAGCGGTTTGAAAATCATGCCAGGCATGTGTGTGTATGTACCCAAAATCCCAAGAGGAGACTGGAGTACAAGGGACTGTGGCGTGGCCATCTCCTCTGGGCGGGTGATTTCTCAGTTTCTCTCTCTCTCACTGCCTCTCTGGTGAGCACATGATGTACCCTGTAACAAAAACTAGAAGAAGAACAAAAAAAAAAAAAAGAGCATGCCATGGATTCTGAAGATTATTTTCCAAAAGCAATCCAAAAGTGTTTTGGGCATTGACAGCATGATAATAATAAATGTTATCTTTATATGTAAAAAAAATAAGAGTAACTTCTGATCATAATAAATGTATCTGCATGTGTAATTTCTGGTATGTTTGTTTTAGAAAGTTAGACTGCAGTTAAACCTTTCATATAGATTCCTTCAGTTTGAAACCGATTACAGTCCTGTCCTCATTTAGAAATGTCCCTTGTCCTTCTCTTTTCTCTTGAAGAACATCTATAGGATGCTGTGAAGATCTCCGAACTGTATCCTAGGTCTGAAGCAAGCTTGTCCCAGAGCTGGTTTCCGATGATATAGCCACTAGCCACACATGGCTATTTAAGTCTGAATTTTAGTTAACTAAATAAAATTTAAAATTTAAGTCCTGAGTCACACACGCTGCTTTCAAGTGCTCACATTGGCCTAATGGCTAGTGGCTACCATGTTGGACGCTGGAGATAAAAACATTTCTGTCGACACAGAAAATTGTATTGGTTAGTGCTCTCCTGTAGTTCTTACAGTCAGTGTACACATTTCAGTTTATTGCTTATCTCTTACACTGTTGATGAGCAAGTTGGAAAGTGGCGACAAGTTTGAGGGAAAATATTGTAAATGCTCATTTGTTCTGTACATACTGTTAGCTTACTGCCTAGTTCAAAAAAAAAAAAAAGGAGAAAGTTATTTCACCCATTTTGAGAGTTTGATTATGTGTGTGGAATTCGTATGAGTTGCCATGTTTGGGTTGCTAAATTTTCTTGGAATGTGCCAAAGTTATGGCAAAACCTTTGTTAATGCTGCCAAAGCCATTGACAGAAAAGTCCTGTTAATTAAAATCTCTTTACAGCATCGTAACACTTGAAATGAATTAGCCTGGACACAAGATAGTAGAGGTTATATTGAGTTCATTTTTAATAATCATTTTATTTGCAAAGACCTTAAATTACCTACCTCCCTTCATTAATCTCGACATCAAGAAGGAAGTAGGTAGCTCTAGAAACTGATCTGGCCCCACGCTCCGGACCTGTTTACAAGCTGTCCTTTTCTGCTGTAGCTACTTGAGGGCCAGGACCAATCCTCCGTGGGTTTGTGTAACCTGTGGTCTTTCACATGAGGTCATGCCAGTGTTACCTACGTCTTACTCGATGAATGTTAGTATTGATCTTGTCTTCACTGAAAAAATCACTGCATTTGAGAGCAGACTCATAGTGTACATGAAATGCGAATGCTTTTATCGTAGAAAGTATCTTCTGAACTGACTGCTAGGCTTAGAATTCCTGTGTGGTTTCAATTCTTTTTTTTTTTTGGAGAGGTTTTTGCTATAGGGCACAGGGCACATTCACTCACCAGAAAGACAAGGAGAGACAGAGAGACCAAAACAGAAAGCGAGAAATCACCCCCCAGAGTGGACGGCCACACCACAATCCCTTCTCCTCCATTCTCCTCTCGGGATCTTGGGCACACATGCACACACGCCCAGTGTGAGTTTAAGCCACCGGGTCCAGGACTCGAACCGAAGTCGACTACATGGGAGTCCAGCGACATAGCCATTACACTAACTGCTGGTCACGGTTTTCAATTCTTTTGACTGAATGAAATAGGGACCACTGGGTATAGGCTCTCACAGAGGAGAGCTGAAGTTCCACTTACTCCTTTTGAACTGCAAGAGTAGTAAATCTAGTCTTAAAATAAAGACAAATTAAGAAAGCTACAAAATACCATAATAAAGTTGGAGTGGGTCCAAAAAATAAATAAGCAGCTTTTAGTATGTGTGTATGTGTAATATAAATCTACCACTGAGGCACACACACATATATACCTCCTGTTTTTCTTTTTACATAAAATGCCAGTTCTCAGAGTAATGGGATTTCTTTGATAATGCAGTGGGTAAATGTATATTTACTAGAACCCAGCTGAGTCAGCTAGGTGGTAATCCTTTTAAACCATTGGGAAAATGTCTCTGGTAAGATCCCTTTTCCCTGCTTTTGATAGGTCTCATGCTTTGTATAAATAAATGCTCATAGTACCTGCTACACTAAGCGAATTCTGAAGCTGTCACCCAACCCAGCTCCTTTTCAAAACTTAGTTTATCACCTTTTTTTTTTTTTTTTTTTGAGAGGTTTTCGCTATAGGGCACGTGCACTTGCCAGACAGACAGAGAAAGACAGAGAGACAGAAAGCAAGAAATCACCCCCCAGGGGGGATGGTCACGCTGCAATCCCTTCTCCTCCATTCTCCTCTCGGGATCCTGGGCATGCACGCACACGAGTCTGACGTGAATTGAAGCCACCGGGTCTGGGACTTGAACCGCGGTCGACTACATGGGAGTCCAGCGACATAGCTATTATGCTAACTGCTGGTCCCACCTTATCACCTTTCTAAATCATTAGGTGTTAAATCTGACATCTTTTGCCAGATACTAACACCATCTGTCATGAACTATGGCCTGAAGTTATGAGACACCTTAAAGACTTACAGGAGAGAAGTCTTTCTACCATGTAATTTCTGATAGTGATCACAGGATAGTAATACTGTCTCTATTCTTCATTTTTAGATAACCATCAACAGAGATAGTGGCGAAGATGTGAGCTCCCCCAAACATGGGAAGGAAGACCCAGACAACATGCCCCACGTGGGTGGCAACACTTGGGCTGGTGGAACAGGTTGGTAGTGTGAACATTCTTCTGGAACAGGCCTCCCAAGGCTTCACAAGTGCTTCGCCAGCACACCACCTCTGAAAAGGCACAGCGACCAGCTTTCCTCTCACCTCCCCATTATCCACTTGGATTTTGTTCTTGTCCTCTGCCCCCACGTGACATCAAGACAGGCAAAGAACCTGCCATGTGAAATCCCACAGACTCTGCTGCCCTATGACCTGAATTCACCAGTAAAGGGAATAATATTAACTGCCTCATGAGGCGGTGGTGGGGATTTAATGAGATTATGATTGTAAAGCACTGAACACAATGCCTGGCATGAAAAAGTATTCAGTAAAGTGTTAATCCCCTCTTCAAATTCCATGCCCTTGGGATCATGCCAAAAATCTACACTGAATTCTTTCTTGAGCAACTGACTTTGAAAAGAAATGGTTCTTGTCTTCCACATCTCAGAAGTGAGTATGTCGAAGGATGCAGGGTTTTAAGATAAGAGAGCTGGTTGCAGATTGAACCCATGGCTGTGGTCCATTCCTTCCTCTTGGCTGTCTGACTACAGCATTGTTCCCATGACTGCCGTCTTCCTCTTTCCTCCATGGCAGCTGGAGCAGACACATCTGCTGGGCCACAGGAATAAGGCCAGACTGTGTGCACTGTGTGAGCTTATCTCTGCCGTGAGGAGTGCCAGCACAAGCTCTGCACTTCACCTTCCCTTAGGATGGTCTGCGCCTCTTGGCCTTGACAGCCCAGGCAGGAAATGAGTTTCTGTGCTGAGACAATGTGCTATCAAATAGGCCGGTGGACTTCTTGACTACTCTGTTTATTCATCAAGCATCAGCTTTAAAGTAAGGCTATTTTAAGAAATGTCCTTTGATCTCGAAGTTAGTGTTAAGCCAACAAGATTTAATCCATATGGAATGTGTTATGAAGCAAACTGGCCAGATGTAGGTTTCCCAGCTGTGGACAACTCTGGAGTGAAAGTTCTGGCTTGTTACTCAAGCTGTGTTCATGAGCTCAACTGTCTATCCAGACTGTAGACTCTGTATTTGCTTCCCGTAGCCTTTTATTTTTCAACTGAGCAGCACTCTTTGGCTTTAATTTGTTTTTTGCTCTGTGTTGTACATCTTCAAAATTTTCTAGGGACCAGCAGGTGATGTGGTGGTTAGGCAATGGGCTCCCACATGGCCAACCACAGTTCAAGTACTGGGCTTGATGGCTTCCTTTCTCTCTCTCTCTCTCTCTCTCTCTCTCTCTCTCCTTCTCTCTCCCTCTCTCTCTTCCTCTCTCTCTCTCTCTCTGATCAGCACACAGGCCCTATAACAAACTTAAAAATAATAATAATTTAAAAATATAAGTAAATAAATAATTTTTTAAAAAATCCTACATTGAACTTAGCTTTAGCCCAACAAATCATTTGATTCCATTTTCATCATTTAATCCCCTCCCCTGCCTATCCAACCCGCATCTTACAAATTGGCTTGAGATGTCCAAGCTTAGCTTTAAGATTATGCCTTGTAATCACAGAACCTCTATAAGTAGTATAAATTAAAGGCTCTTGGACATGAAGAGCATGAAAAACTCTCTCATGCCTGCTCCACCCCAGTGTGACTTTCCAGAGGAGCCCCGTGACTCATGCTGGCTCATTCACACCAGCCTCTGACAGATACAGGTCTGTTCGTCCTTCATCAAAATGATGACATCTCAGTGCTGATAGAAATTTTAAGCTCTAATTCATGACCCACCCAGGCCTAAGGATAACCTCCTATAGGGAGGGAGTCAGATCCCAGAACAACTTTTCCAGCTATAACTCATTATCATTGTCCAATTACTGTTCTCCACCTATAGACTGACAGCGAGTGAGAACCAGGAATCACACACGTCTAAGAAGGAATTTTCCGCCACCGATTTCTAAATAAAAATGACATCTTAAAGCACATCTTTGTGCTTCAATCAAAGGATAAAAATACCATAATTAATAGGCTGTCCTAATAGTATTTCCAAAAAGGAAATGACCTACCCGCACTTTCATAAGGGAAGCAGTTTATACTGAGTTCTTATGTTTGGTTTATTAGACTAATTAAAGTTCCAAAGGAAAGAGAAAAATGTATACCTTAACCAAAAATCTAAAAGCTTTTAAATGTTCCTCTTTACGAAACTAGAAATGACCTCATTCTGTGACTAGGAGTTGTTTAAATAATAATAGTAAGATCAGACACTTAGATCACTCTTACCCTAAGCCAGACACTGCTCTAAGCATTTTAGCTTCACGACAATCCCATGAAGTCAATAATATTATTATCCCCATTTTTTTTTTTTTGGAGAGGTTTTTTCGCTATAGGGCGTGTGCGCTCGCCAGACAGACAGAGAGAGACATAGAGACAGAAAGTGAGAAATCCCCCCCCAGGGGGGATGGCCACACCGCAATCCCTTCTCCTCCGTTCTCCTCTCGGGATCTTGGGCACACACGCACATGCGCTCGGCGTGAGTTTTAAGTAACCGGGTCCGGGACACGAACCGAGGTGGACTACGTGGGAGTCCAGCGACATAGCCATTACGCTAACTGCTGGTTCCCGTTTATCCCCATTTTATAAACAAAGCGACATGGAGGGACTTCTCCAAAAAAAAAAAAAGAGTCATGGAGATGTGAGTAAAACAGGACTCGGAGTCAGGCAGTCTGGCTATACAATATACTCTAAGATATGAATATACTGTACTATGCTATTCTGTTCCTCCTATACTGATTCTCTTCTAAGTTCCTAAATCACATGTTAATGAACAAAAGAATCTAGTTATTAGGATTCTAATCATTATAAATCTGGGGTAACACACTAGTAGCCCAAAGGACAGATCTAGCCAATAAGATGTATTTTCTTTGGTCAGTATAGTGTTTTTAAATAATTTGAATTTGGATATACTTAAACAAGGCAAATTATCTCTCATTAGTGACTGTCTCCACCACATCTTATAATATTACCTACCTGGCCATATAGGCATTTAACTTATATTACAGTATTTTCTAATACATGCTTAGAAGCTTGTAAACTTGGTTTTATATTGAAAGGCTATCCTTGCGTTGGTAGTGTTTATCTGTTTCATATTGTTCGAAGCTGAAAGTCAAAATTGACAGAATAATTGTCTTCTAATCTTGGCTAAGCCAGTGATAGTTTGCTTACCTCTTTGCACATCATTTTTCTATTTCACAAAACAGAAGAAGCAGTGTTCATAGCCTAGCTGTCTCTCGGTATATTAAGGAAAAATAAGATAATGTAAGGAAGCCGGAAAGTCATTTAATTAGCAAATATAAACTAAGTATCTATGATATTCAAGCCACTCCTTTAAGTGAAGAGGAGCAAAGGTAAAGAAAATATGATCCTATCATCATACGGTTGATAAGAAAAAATATATTAGAGGGTAACAAATAGTACATAAGAATATTGATCCCTAAGAGGTAGAGACATCCTAAGAGGTAGAGACATCAGATAAGATATTAGAATTTGGACTGTACCTTAAAATATGGGTAGGGCTTAGATGAATAAAGAAAAGGAAAAAGCATCCTAAATATGGTCATTTGAATGCTTCCTTACTAGTTACATACATTTAAGGCAATTCACAGAGCTATCTTAAAGCCATGATCTGCTTTTTGTTTTGTGGCCAACCTCAGACTTACCATCTGGATTCTTCTTCCAGGGGGAAGAGACACTGCCGGTCTGGGAGGCAAAGGAGGTCCTTACCGACTGGATGCAGGCCACACAGTGTACCAGGTTTCTGAGGCTGAGAAAGATGCAATTCCTGAGGAAGTCAAAAGAGCTGCAAGAGAGATGGGCCAAAGAGCGTTTCAGCAGAGGTCAGTGTTCTTGTCGCATCTAGAACAGCCCGACCACCATGCCCAAGTGTCATAGTGGATTGCGATTGAACTGAGGTTGGTGTGATGCCCCATCTCCTGCAGCGACGTGGGCCACAAACTGTCATGCAAAGCTACCTCTGCCGCTGTCTAGTGGAGATAGCCACATGCACAAAACCCTCCATTCTTTCTATTCAGGCTCTTTTAAATTTATTGGCCACATATGGCTGTGCAGAAAAGGGAAGTGAGCACATGAAAGTAAAACCAAAGATGTTTCTCTTACGAGAAAATTTAAGGTAAAACTCAAATTACTCTGTCTACATTCTATTTCAGGTCGAGAGGAAATTTGGACAGCTTGACATGTTGGTTCCTTTCTGCCCTCAGGAGTCTTGCAGATTAGTGTGGAGACAGGACTAGTGCACACACACACACACACACACACACACACACACACACACGTACAATGCTGAGGTCCCATGGTGTGGAGGCTGGGCCCTCCAGCAGTGAGAGAAGGGCAAGGTCCAATGTGAAATAGGGCCTGTACTCAGCCAGGATTTGGAGGTGGAAGGAGAAGAATTAGAATATTCTAGGAAGGGAAAACTAAATGAGCAGAGGCACGGGGACAGGATGAGCGTAGTGTCTGGTGGAGAGCCAGCTGGGAAGTGGTGGGCAGTGAGGTTGGATGGGGAGGCCCTATCAATAGGTACAGGCTGACCACTCTGTGGCTATTAGACATTCCACAGTCATTCTGGGCCACTTTGACTAAACTCATCTAAAAAAAAAAAAAGGAAGAATCCATGTGATGCTTTCACTTGACATTCACATGTGTCTGTCCTTCAGCTAAAAGTGAGAAACACCAAAGAACTAGCAATATCTCCTTTGAGATTGAGGAACTTGGTGGTAGTTTGGGGGAGAAGAGTTACATTTTTGTGCTCAATGAACAGAGCTGAGTGCAGCTAGGAAAAAAGCACATTCAAGTGTATGTGAGTTTTGAAATTCCTCCCACGTAGAACATCTGGTATTACATTACATGCTGTGCTTTCACATCCTGCAAGTAAACAGTACAGAACAATAGAGACAAAAACGTAGGCCCTGCCAGCCACACCCTCAGGAAAGCCTGCAAGACTCAGGACCCTCATGGGCCTAACAGGTAAATAACTCACTCGTCAGTGGAGCAAGGGCCTTGCTCTTAGCCCGTCTGCTGGCTTCTCTAATGAGCTCAGTTTGTTCTCCTCACTGTCCCCAAAACCACTCCTCTGAAGATAGAGGACTGGCTCTCCTTTTCTTCCAGAGAGGTTATGAGAACAGATAACTATGTTAGGAATGAAAGAAGTTGAAACTTCTCCAAAAAAAAAAAAAAAGGTGAGAAGAATGCTATAATGAAAAGTCTTGTTAGAATTAAAATATTGCTGTACACATCATGTGAATAATAATGAAGTATCCTTTTAGGAAAAGATGCAATTAGATAAGCAACATCCTCTCCTTCCTGAGTTCCCGTTGTTGCCACACTTAAAATCTTGCAAGCAATCATCCAGCCTGAATTTCTGCCTAGTTGGATACAGAGATGGAGCACTCTGGCACAGGTAGTGCATGAGGAGGCAGGCAGGCCGCACAGTCATGCTCGGACACAAGTAAGCACCCACTTCTCCAGTTGTCATAACAGGGACACGGAGCCCAGATCTATTAAGGGCTTTGGCCCCACAGGGGAAATAGGTATTTGGAATAATAAGGCAACTGAATCTAGTGGATATAGAAATAGGGAAGGGAGTGAGAGAACTGCACACGTCTACCAAGTACTACAGAAAAGCTCAGTGAAAGTAAAATAGAATACCATAATATAGTTAAGACAGAGAGGGGGGCACCAGCAGATGGCATAATGATTATGTCGCCGGACTCCCATGTAGTTGATCACAGTTCGAGTCCCAGATCCAGTGGCTTAAATCTCACACCAGGCACACATGTGTGTGTGCCCAAAATCCTGAGAAGAGACTAGAGGAGAAGAGATTGCAACATGACTGTTCCCCTGGGGAGTGATTTCTCGCTTTCTGTCTCTCTTGTCTCTCCAGGAAGTGCACGTACCCTATACCAAAAAAAACTCTAAAAGAAAAAAAATAATAATAAAAGACAGGAGGTGAGCCAGAGCATAAAAAAGGGAGGAAGAAATAAAAACACATGGAGCTCCTGAGGGAAACAGGGCACAGGAGAACCCCAAGGGAAAACCCTCGCTTTGTCCTTTCGTGTAGAAATGAGACTTTCATCCCATTTGATGAGTAGTCCATTTAATACTGTTGAAGCTTTGCTTTTAATTATATAGAATTTTTCTAACATAAAACAAAAGTAGAGAAAAATATATAATGAGCCCAATGGACCTGATCTAACTTCAAGATGAGAAATCTGGCTCCACTCCCAGTCTCTACCCGTCGATTGTTTTGAAGCTAATCCAAGGCATCCTTCCTCTCATCATAAATATTTCAGGGGGTATCTCTATAGTATAAAAACTCAAAAAGTAAAATCAATGATACCAATATCATATCTTTTTAAAGCAAGAATTCACTAAATAATTAGTTTTAAGGCTATTTTGCCACTCTACACATACTTAGAACGAGGTCAGGTCTTGCCATTTATGCTTTTATAACACCCTGTACCCTCACTCCAAAGCTTTTATCACTCTTTCTCATTTTATTAATTGCGTGAATAATTGATTCCCTCTTCTGAGTATAGAGGGCAGCCATGTATCTGCTTTACTCCCTAGCATATCCCCAAGTCTTGGTATGTGGCCAACACTCATACATATTTGTGGAATGAATAATACACACAAGTAATACTATCACCCTTTAGTACTTCATTCAAAGACTGACTGAAACAAGGCAGCCACCATCACCAGAAGGCCCACCGTTTTGCCTGGAGGAGCCTAATACCATTGATAGGAATCTGACATCATCAACATAGCATATCATTGGCATCCCTTTTTATCTAGGTTTAAGCTAGATACCAGCTCCTACATATCAAGAATTGTTTAACTCAGGCAGAGTAACAGAGGGAGACAAGCATAAGATGTGCGTAAGGCAGAACAGAAACCTTATACTAGCAACAAGTGAATGAAATGAACTGTGTAGTACTTGTACACGCTTAGCAGTGCATCTAGGGTGGGCACCAGCAATGGAAATTGCATCTACCACCACTTGCAAAACTAATCAGCCTCACACAGTGGATCTCCACTTATGTTCATTTTCCTCATAATTGATTTAAAATGATAGTATTTAAGTCTGACCTATAAGGAAAAGTAAAATGAGAACTAAAATTCCCAGACTCTTACGTAACAATAAATATACCCTTTAAAAACATACTGTGCCAACAAAATGCAGTTAGTCTACATAGATTACTGGGATGTGAAGCAGCTGTGTCCTGCAGTTTTGATCAGGATGAAAGCAGCAGAAAGATTTGGGCTAGTTTTGTAGGCTTGAAAGTATTACTAGTGGTTGTCTGATCCAGAAGCTAAAACGTCTTATTTTCTTTCACTGTTCCCTGCTTTGGTCCTCAGAATTTGTTATCAGCTTTGAACACCAGGTAGGTGATCTTTCTGAAAGCTGACACAGTCTGGAATATGATTTCCAGATTTCTGCATAATTAAAACAGCATGTGGTATGTTTTTAGATGCAACAGGATCGCATCAGAGGTAGCCCTTTAACTGGAGCTAATTCTGATCTCTACAGAGACCATCCAGCTTGAGGTGACTTACCCACTGTCTGGTTCCTTCTTTGAGATCTGTCTGTCTGTCTATCTATGTGTGTGTATATATTCCCACTTCTATCCTTTCTCCCTCTCTACCTTCACTCACCTCCCAAGGACAAAGCATGCCTACATTTTTTTCTAATCAACAATGATCTCCTTTCTTTGAGAAAGAATATATAGACTTCCTAGGCATGAAGTAGGTAGGCTGCGTGTCCTGCAGTGTTCATTGTGCCCAGCTTCTGTCACTTCAATACTTGAGACGTAACCGAGTCTAATGAAAATTTATAAAGAGGTTTCAGAGATTGCCAAAACTAAACATAAGCAGTATTGTTAGGAGGTCAAGTCCTATACAAATACTTCTTTTTGATCTTCAGCACAGAGAGTTAATTAGATTTAGAAGAGCGCTTTGGCATGTCACCTCAGAAACAACCTTTCAACTATTATAGTAGCCTGGTCTGTATTTACCTTTTGATAGTGTTTTCAAAGTGCTATTCAATATTTATTGAGTGCCACTGTGTTCCAGAGATCATGTTAGGTTCTGGAGACCCAAATTAAAAATAAGATATGAGACCAACAGGCAGCATAGTGGTTGGGGCACTGGACTCCCATATGGTCAACCACAGTTCAAGTCATTGGCATGCATGCCCAAAATCTCAAGCAGAAAATGGAAGGGAAGGTATTGTAGTGTGGCCATTCCCCGGGGGGTGATCTCTCTCTCTCTTTCTCCATCAAGCTCACATACCCTATAGCAAAAATCTTTCTAAAAATACAAAAGAAGGAAGATATGGTCCTTTCTCTCAGAGCAATAAGATAGAAAACAACAGAGCTCATCACATTCAATTAATGTATTTTTATTACATTTTTGGTTCAGTTATACACACACACACACACACACACACACACTTGCATATTTGTGTGGACTGGATCTGAATGTAAGATAGATTTCCTAGAAAAGACAAGTTTGAAAAACACTGTGATAAAGAGAAACAGACATATTTATTAAAACAATAAAATGTACAACTTCCATAGTAGATGTATAAGCTTTATGAGAAAAGAATGGTTAGTTTTACCCAATTAATCAAGCAAGACTTCATAGGATGTATCTTTGAGTGAAATCATGAAACCTGAGCTGGTGTTAGCTAGTACAGCTCAGGTTAAGGTAGGAATTGCAAATCTGCTCCATGCTAGTCTAGGCCTAGTATTATGGGATTCTAATAAGCTTCTAGCACTCTGCCCTGTGATAAATGGGTTCATCTCAGTATTCTGTCTGGCAGGGAGAAATAAAGACCATTCATTCCATTCAGAATCTGGGGTGTCTGTTCCAGCCCAAGGTAATAAAAATATTTTCTCAATAAGAGTTCCAGCTATAACCTAAAATTCACACTTCCAGCATTGCACAGACACATACACATGCAGTAGTTTAGAAGATTGTGTTGTGATTAGCCTTTGGAGATATGCATGCATTCATTATTCTCTGTCCTAGTTTCAGCACCATTTGTATTTATAAGAATATGTGGTTAAATCAGCATATTATGGGGCCAGCAGGTGGTGTAGTGACTAAGGTGCTGAACTCCCACATGATTGACCATAGTTTGAATCCCAGACCCAGCAGCTTGAAACTCACACTGGGCGTGTGAGCATGCATACTCAAAATCCAGAGAAGAGAATGGAGGAAAAGGGATTGCAGTGTGGCCATCCTCCTGGGGCAGGGGCGGGGGGTGATTTGTCACTTTCTGTCTCTCTGGCAAGCACATGTGTGTACTATAGCAAAAATACCTCTCTAAAGCAAAAAAATTCAGTGTATTATGGATACGGCACTGGAAAACTTAAGAGAGGTCACTCAGTGAGTGAATGAATCTACTTATGATTACTTTAAGATGCCTCATTTTAAATACTACTGAGTCTTATCTTTATTTTAGTCATTCGTTTTAGTTTACTTTGCATACCTGTTGTATGTTAGGTACCCTGGCAGGCACTATCCATATAAAGATGAGAAAGACTGAGCCCTTACCTCGAGGACTGCAGAGCTAGTTGGGGAGATGGGCAGCAGGCAGTTACAGCACAGGTATACATGCTCTCCGTGTGGGAGAAATGCAGTGAGATGACAGCACAGAAGACAGACCTGCGAATCAGAGCAGGCTTCCCTGGAGAGGGCAAAAATTGACATGAGCCTTGAGGGGCAAGTGGGAATTAGTAGGCAAAGAGACAGGGAAAGGACACTCCCGGAGGGAGAGAGGCCACCTGCAGTGGCAGTCAGACATGGGTGCGTGGTGTATGCAGGAACTGGCTAGTGGGACTATGATAGAAACAAATTATAGGAAATGATAGAAAGGAGCAGTGGACTGGGAGGATGAAGGTTCAAAGCCACAGTGATACTAAAACATGATTATCCCATTCAAAGTGCGTTATTAGCAATTTTAGAAAACTCTTGTAAGGACACATAACAACATATTAAATTACATTCTTTGGATCTAAACTGCAATCAAATATATTACCTAGATCTTAAAAAGCAGCCCAGGAGGGACCAGCAGGTGGCATGGTGGTTAAGGTGCTAGACTCCACAGAGTTGATTGTGGTTCAAGTCCTGGACCCAGTGTCTTAAAACTCATGCCAGGCATGTGTGTATGAATACCCCAAATCCTGGGAGGAGAATAAAGGAAAAGGGACTGTGGCATGGCCATCCCACGTGGGTTGTGGTGGGAGTGATTTCTTACTTTTCCTCTCTGTGTCTTTCTGGCTAGCCCATGTACCCTATGGCAAAAACCTTAAAAAAAAAAAAAAAAAAAAAGATGGGTGCAGGGCGAAGCCCATGAGAATACGCTTAGAAACCGAGAAATCTGATCTACCTTGTGAACTGATGGGCTGCCAACATCAAACGTGTCTCTGAGATACGGCAGTGGCTACCACAGGGCCGAGTCACGTTGGCTCAGGAGAGTCAGCTATGCACATTGTAACTCAGTGTTTAGTGACCTCTCTGTTTATAGCTTGAAATTAATTGTGATGAAACTATTGGGTCATTGGAAAAACCATGACATTTTTACGTAGAAAAATACATCATGACTTTTCTAATGACTTAATATTTTTACACCATAGAAATCAACAAATGTTACAGAACCACAAATTAGGAATTTTTTTTTTACTACTGTATATTTTTCTCCTTTAAATCTAGAGACATAGAGACTAGCAGGTGGCCGGCCTGTTGGTTAAGGTGTTGGATTCTACATGGCCGACTACACAGTTCAAGCTCCAGACCCAGTGGCTTGAAAAACATGCCAGGCATGTGTGCATGTGTGCCCAAAATCCCAAGAGGAGAATAGAGGGGAAAGGATTGTGGTGTGGCCATGCCCCTTGGGGGTAATTTTTCAGTTTCCCTCTCTCTCTCTGGCAAGTGCACATGCCCTACAGCAAACTTAAAAAAAAAAAAATAGTTGTAGCTGAAACATATTCCAGGGCCAGCAGGTGGTATGGAGGTTAAGGCACTGGGACCTGGACCCAGCAACTTGGAAATCACAGTGGGCCCATATATGTGTGTACCCAAGATCCTCAAAGGAGAATGTTGGAGAAGGGACTGTGGCATGATCATCACCCCAGGGGGTGATTTCTCCTTTCTCTCTCTCTTTCTCATTCTCATTCTCTTTTCTCTCTTTCTCTTTATCATCTCTCCAGTAAGGACATGCTCCCTATGGCCAAAAAAAAAAAAAAGAAAAGAAAAAGAAAAAGAAATATAGAGACATAACTGGAGACATCACTTCTCGCTTTTTCTACCAAAGTCAATCTGAGTTGCCAAGGAGTTTGGCATAGTTCTAGAAGTCGGTGGGGGAAAGCAATAAACCCACAGGTAAATGATTTAACATGTTTTTTACTCTGGTTTCAGGCTAAAGGAGATACAGATGAGTGAATATGATGCTGCAACTTATGAAAGGTTCTCAGGTGCAGTTCGACGACAGGTACACTCCCTTCGAGTCATCCTGGATAATTTACAGGTAATCTTTCATTTATGGACCAAGAAAAGAATCTGGGCCCAAAGCTGGACCCATTCCAAAACTGTTGGAAAAAGTTTTCTGTTTCCTAATCAACCACTACGAAAAAAATGGCGCCAAAATGTCTGAATGAAACTGTGGACTCACTCCATGACTTCCTTAGTTCATTTCTCCAAGGCAAAATATTTGACCTCACCTTTCCTCCTGTCTAGGAAGCAGTAATTTTATTAGTAACTCTAGCAGACACCCGACTTCCTGATTCCCCTCATATGAGATATATGAGCATCTCACCTCTCCTGGAAATTCACAGAAGAATTGTCTTTGCAAACAATTTTACCGTCCCTAGAGAAACAGTGTTTTGGATCATGAGGGTGTGTAGTCTCTATGTCCCCGGGCTTCTCATCCTCCTGTGCTCCCCTGGCTCTGCACTGTCTGCCTTTATGCAGTTTTACAAAACTTGGTGCCTCAAAGACAGTTGGTATTTCTATTGTCCCTAAAAATATTGATTAAGAACTTCAATATTTCCTAAGCAGAGGCTGTTAGTTGGAGATTTTATATTTGAAATCATGCTCTGATCTGTACACGTAGTTGTGAGAGATTGAGTATCTCCTAAAATCACAGATGAAGTCAGATTATTTTGCCTAAAGAAAACTCAAAGCCTCATTTCAGGGGAGAAGGGGGGCAGTTTAGGAGCCAAGCCTTGGCACTTGGTTTCTCCGCTCTACCCTGGAATCTTGCATTTCTTTTCTATGAAGTGTTTGAGGTTGATTACCTTGAATTGTTCTCTTTACCTGCTCTGATTTCAAATTGCTCTTTTGAGAGAAGTTTTATTGTTTTTCTGGTAGGAGTTGGAAGTTCTGTAAGGCAGTTTTAATCCACCATCTTAATCTAAAACTGGGAAGACTTCATTTTTCAAAAAATCTAAACGACAGCAGGAGATAAAAAATGCCCTCACATCCAAGAGGAAAGATCTTTATAATGGTTAACTAGAAGCCTACTTCAAAATCTGAGGAATGGGGACCAGCAGTTAGTGTAATGGCTATGTCGCTGGACTCCCATGTAGTCAACCGCAGTTCGAGTCCCAGACCCGGTGGCTTAAAGCTCACGCCAGGCGCGTGTGCATGCGTGCCCAAGACCCTGAGAAGAGAATGGAGGAGAAGGGATTGCGGCGTGGCCATACCCGCTGGGGGGTGATATCTTGATTTCTGTCTCTCTTTCTGTCTGTTTGTCTGGCGAGCGCACATGCCCTATAGCAAAAACCCCTCCCCCCAAAAAAAAAAAAACTGAAGAATGGAAGAATTAAGCCATTTGCTTTGAGGGAAAAAAATAAATTAAAAAAAAAAAAACACTCCATATGCAGTTATTTAGGATAAGACAGTATAAGATTTTATATAAACTGTGTGATTTTATATAAATGACATGACATTGAATGTTTGAATTATTCCCATAATCACTTGCTTGACAAGAGTTCACTGTTCTGGGCATTGAGGGCAACTGGGCAACTGCTGGGTAGGCTCTGAGGAAGGCAGCAGTTGACTAAGAGCCAAATGAGTGGCTCAGCAAAGGCGCAGGTAAGGGAAGACAGTGCTCCTGCTAAACTTGAACAATGAGTATATTGAGTATAAGTATATTTCAATCATGCATTCATCCCTTGAGTTCTTAATGCACACCAGGCATAAGAATAAAAAATAAATAAAATAAAAATTTATAAAACATAGCCCCTGTCCTAAAGAAGGAACTCAAGACGGTTCCTAAGTTTTATAGAAAAGTTCACACATGGTAAGTGAGACAAATGAGGGAAGCCTTCCTAGAGAACATAATGCTTGAATTCACTCTTGAAAGGTGCTGAGGGATTCCATAGGTGATTTGGGAGACAGGGCATTCCTGACATAGGAAATAGCATG